AGCTCATCCTGTTATTGATCTGCATCTAAAGTTCTCTCTCTGTGTCTTCCTTGTCCTCAGAACTACGAGGCCTTCTTCGATGCCAGAGAGGACAACGCTGTTTATGCATTTCTGGGTCTGACCGCTCCCCCGGGCTCGAAGGTAAGCTTATGAACACAAACACACACACACANNTGTGTGTGTGTGTGTAAATCAGGTTTTGGCGTGGAGGTGTGGTCATTAGCGCCAAGTCCCATATGCTGCCCGACACTGGAGGGAAAACCCCTGGGACACACACACACACACACACACACACACTCCACACACTCACACACATATCTGTCCTTTCTTTGAACTACATTCCTACAGCCTAACCATATTTCCTGTAACACCAGCTTATGTGCCTAAATATATATTTATCCTCACAGTTTGATTTCCATACAGAAAACACACATATTACATAATACATCTGTTCATGATACCCCTTACGCCCAAGCAGGCCTCTTCTGCCTTTCCTCTCACTCCTGCACACTGGTGCCTCCTCTCTGCCACAACAGGAACTGCAGGGAGGTGTGCCAGTTACCATAGAAACAGAGGGGTTTTCCTCTGTGGTGTGGCAGGGGATATATAAACCAATATCCTCCATTTTAATATAACACACTCTCCCTCTTCTCTTCCTTTCCCCCCCTCTGTCTCTGTCTTTCTCCAGGAGGCAGAGGCTCTAGCGAAGAAAGCACAGCAGTAGCAGCTTTACATCGTTCCTACCTGAGACCTCAGGCCTAGACCGAAACACAGACCTGGACCCAGACTGACCTGGAACTGATCCAGGAAAAAAAAAAAAAAGCAACATTTCACTCAGCTTATAAAAATGTGGACCGTTTTTTCAGTATGTTTTTCTTAATTTATCTGTGTTCAGCTGTGCCTTGTCAGCTGTAGTGAAGGGAGGTACTAAAGCAGAGCATTATGGGTATCTACAAACAGCACTGCTTCCTCCCATTAACCTCAGACTGCTAAGCCTATTGGCCTAATGACATGTCAATCAACCATTAGCATGAACGTGTATCATCAAACGCAACAACATGCACACACTTTGAAAATTGTAACACAGATTCACCATTCGGCCAACGGAACATCATCCATGTTAACGTCACATCGTGGAACATTATCATCATTTGTTTAACTCGACAGGTTGAATTAGTACAAGTCTTATATGTTTAATCCTGGAAACAGTGAGTCAACTATTGTTCTCCTGCTAGTCCTGTCATCACTAAGACTGCAGCACCTTCTGTAGAAGTGACATTACAATCCCAGTCTCTATGTTTTTATTTACTTTTTATTGTCTTTATGCTGTTTTAATAGCAAACCTTTTTCTACAAGATGATATATGTTTAAAAAAAAAAAGATAATACATGCCAAAATTACAAGACTGCAAACGTAGAGGGATGTGAAATTATTATTTTTTTTATGTATTGTTTTTGTTTTTAGGAGAGTTGAACAGCTGTTTCGTTTCGCTGTAAGCATCCTGTTTCACATTGTGTTGGTAATCCCTGTCTTACATAAGTTAGTATCTTCCCTAAAATCAAATAAAAATAAGACTGCAAATAAAACTGCAAGCCTGACTCTCAGTAGTCCTTCATGGTTGTGAAGTTTCAATAATGACATAGTCAAACACATTGAAATAAACTGAAATAAATTCTGCCTTCTTATAACGTTCTGTTATTTTTATGCACAATAAATGATTTTAAGTTTACAGGATGTGACTAATCTTTCATTGAACATGGCTTGACGTGTGCTTTCAAGGAATTCAAGCATTTGGAAAAGTGATTAAAAAGAGATTGTGAAAGAGACGTGTTTTGAGGAAGTCGTCGCTCCTTGAGTTACTGATATCCTGCAAACATTCTAAAGATATTCCCAAGAAATTTATCCAACCACTCGAAGTTCCTCTCAACAGTGGTTCGAAAGGAACTGTTGTAACAGTTCTTACTTTTTACTTTTTAGATGAACACATCTCACATCTCCCTTTGTATCCAGCACCCATCCCACTGGGGTTTTGTGGATGTGCACGACTACTCAAACTTATCCCGCCTGTTCAATATTGACACTATGGCAGACAATAAACCTTTTCACAGCAGCCATTTTGACATGAAATAGTTGGGTAACACACAGGTTTCCAATTACACTGACTAAGGTACCGTTCCATAGAAATGCTGCTACTGAAATTAATAGAAGCTGAGATTCCAGTGTGTCTCTTGTATTGAGATTACATTGATTTTTTTAACTATTAAAACCAGTCTTATGACCTTCTATAAAAAAAAACAGTGTATGGTTGAGTCCTCTTCTCATGTTTCAGCTGTCTGTGAGTTGTTCCTCTTCTCAGATGGTTTCATTTAAAGGCCCAGTTTGTAGCATTTAGGAGGATCTATTGGCAAAAGTTGAATAAAATCTGCATTACTATATAACGTAACATTTTATCAGTGTATAATCACTCTGTTTTTGTTACCTTAGAAAAATACATTTATATCTACAGATGCCACAGATTGCATGGAGGCCACATGTTTCTACAGTAGCCCAGAATGGACAAACCAAAAACTAGAAAGAGCCATTTGCGTTTTTCACATGTTGGCCATCATAGTTTCTCCTTTGCGAATGGAAGGGGAGAGTGAAGCAAGGTAGTTGTTATCTGCAACTAAACAGCTAGATACATTTTATAAGTAGTACGTTATAGACCGGCCTTATATGAAAAGTGTCCTGAGATAACTTCTGTTATGATTTGGCTGCACAAATAAGATAAACAAATCGACAGTTTGATTCCCAGACTGAATAAACTCCTCAGTATTCCACAAAAAAGTAAAGCTATGCTTTTTGTGTTTTTTTGACCCTTTTGAGCAGGCCTGACCCTTCAGTTGAGAAACCATTAAGCTACCTAACTGTACATAAAGTAGCACTGACCTACTACTAACATTTAGGAGTATTATATTACAAGGAATATAATATTCAAAGATATGTTTGCAGTGTATAATCACCTGAAAATAAGAATAATTTGTCCTAGACACTTGGAAGGTGAGCAGTATTCAGTTCGTTGCAATCTGGATGCCACTAAATTCTACACCCCGGTTCCTTTAACCAGCTGCAATCATAAAATCCTGTATCAATATGTATATAATGACAATATGTATTAATACTTTTACTTTTGATACTTTAAATATGTTTTGCTGATAATACTTAATATGATCATTTTACTGGATTAAGTAAGTTTTTAGAAGTACTTATTTACAAGTATTTTCTTGATGTTGTATTGGTACCTTTACCTCAGTGAAGAGTTCTGCCACTTAGCTTACCATAGAGAGTTTTTACAGCTCATATAAAAATGTGTTGTTCTCCTTACTCTCAACTGTGATTTTCAGTACAGACTAATAAAGGAAGTATGTGGTGTGGGTGGAGGGGCCGATTCTCAGTTGCAGAAGTGAAACAGGTCAGTAGAAATTTACACTTACATACGCACACTCACACCGTGCCATTTGCTCTTAAGACTGACAATAATACGAGGCAGAGCGGGCTGAAAAGAGACAGAAAAGAAGAGGACAGTCATTCTGAGCCATGTTGGCTGAAGGTTTTCTCAGAGTGCTGCGTTACAGGGAGGAGAGAAAGTTTGCCTCTGCTTCCAAACTGAAGAGATCGCAGACACACGCTCATTGTGTGGATCCATCCAACTGTGTTCTCTCTGACTCAAACTCTACAGACCTACAGACAAATGCAGCTGAATCAGGTAAACTCTTATGTTAAAAGTCTTATAAAACATTATAACATAGGATCTGTCTGATGTAGTGATAAGTTTAACTTTCCGTACTGGTTTCATGTACTAATTTTACACGGTCTAGTTCCCTTTTACTAAATGTTCTTCCTTTGTCAGATATAATCGTACTAATGATTTCATGCCAAGTAACAAACAAAACAAAATTAAATTTAAAACATCTTAATAACAGTTTATTCTTTCTAATCAGGTCCAGACCAGGAAGAACTAGACACCAACAAATTCCAGGGACTGAAAGTGGTGCCTCAAGGTCCCGTAGGCCTGTCAATCCCTGGGTGTTCACCTCTCCTCTCTCTGGACCCTGACTTTGCAGTTTGCTTAGACAATTGCAGCCTCCTGGAACAGTATCCAGACTTGCAGGTGGCTGACTCAGGCCGCATCTCAAACAACCCACTGAGAACCATCCATCCTCCCGGTTTTGCCAGTGAAGCCTGCCATCAACCAGAATGGGCAGCCCAACAGGAGCCACAAGGCGAGTATGTTTCAATACCAGACCAGGGTTATCTGGTTATGGGGGCCAGTGTGAATATCAGCTTGGATCTACCCGGATCAGGGTTGGAGCCCATGTCTAACTCTGTGCTGAATGGGCTTCTGGACAAACAGCTGGAGGAAGTGTACATGCAACATCTAACTGATAACTTGGCTCGGTGTAACTCCCACCTGGGGAACAGCCTCCTGCACGGCCTGGTGCCTCCGCCACAGCCCAGCAGCCAGTCACAGGGGCTCGATTCACTAGTGGCCAGTCTGGAAGAAGGATCAGAAGGGGACAGCGGCAAGAAGATTAGTTATCTGAACACCCAGAACTTAGTTCCCTGCTCATCCAACTTCAGCTCCCCAGTGCTGAGGATTTCAGAGGCTGACAATACATTGAATATGATGCTCAACTAGAAACAACTATTTTGCCTTTTGCACTAGTCACATGCAACTGAGACATGACAACAAAGTGCATTTCAGTGAATGAATGGATGTTTTTATTTTTGTTTACATATATTTTTTATACAATGTCTGTATTTACTTAAAATAAAATGATGCCTCAAATTTATTTGCTGTCATGCGCCATCTGCTGTTAGATTTTAGAACTACACCATCCTGAATTTACCTGACATACATAAGAATTTATTTCATTGACCTTATTACTGGGTGTGTGTGTGTGTGTGTGAAGTATTTATTATACCGAAGCAAACTGTAATCCTGTGTAAGCTTATATTGCACATTGAAGTTACCTTGTAAATATAGACTAACCTTGTAAAATAATCCATCTGGTCTAAAGGAAGTAAAATAAATATAATGAGTAGTAATTTTTTATTTTTGTTTTTAAGTGCATTTGATTTTAATTTTGTTGTTTTCATTTGCTGGTAATTATTTTTGGTCTTAAATCCCTTCTTTTGGCAAAAGTACTTTTATTACTCAGGATTCTGTGTGGTTATATATGCTTTCTACAGTATAATGACAGAAGACTTTCTTGTATCATACGTAAACCAGAGATCAACGACAACCCCTCTGACAAAGAGAGCTGTGTCTATATCAGACTTATCAGGCTACAGCAGAAATAACCAATGAAACCTGAGCTAAAGCATAAATGTAAATGATGTTTGAAGTGCCGCCGCACCACCAAAATATATCAGTGTAACATTGGAACCTGGTATCACTCTCAAATTAACATACATGTATTTTAAAAGTTATGGAGGTTTTCTTATACAGTATACGGCTTATTTAACAACAAGTACCACGCTTTTTTGTCTGGAGTTGGCATGAATCCTCTGAAGTCCATATTCATTTCTTACTACAGTCCAATAACATGCAAGTTAGGGGTTTGTAGAAACAAGTTCATAACTCACATCACTTGGTCTTTCTGTATGAAATCTGTGAAGGACATGACCAGTCTGTCCATGTGTCCAAGTTGTCATTTACTGTAATAGTATAAATACTGTAAATGGTAGAGTTTATGAATGAATATACAATTCTTAATAGATTTGTGCTAAAATACCCAAGGATGCGTGATTGTGGTGCTTTATTGAGGAGCTGTGCATCAAATTCATCATGTTGACTGTGTGGCTGCGAATGGAGTCATCACAGTGAGCACCTGCACATCACAGTGAGGTCCAGCATGAACTGACAGCAACAGCCTGAAGATTTATGGTGCATTTGCCTGTTTAAGGTTGATTTGTAACCTGTGAAGGACAAATCCTCACAGCTGGGCTCCCTGTGCACCCACAGTGAAGGCGATACATTAACATGCAGTAACACACTGGGCTTTTTGGAAACATAAGCTGATTCACTGATCTGTGCAAAAAAAATGCATCCAGATTCACTAAGGTTTTTCTATAATTAACAGATTTGAGTCAACAATCGGGCTTTGTTACATACAGCCTCTATTCACAGATCAGGGCATTTATTTGTTAATTTACAGGTAAATTACACCTGATGATCTAGAAAAGAAAATATACTGAAAGTAGATTTTACACTTTGGAGATGTTGAAACCCTTAAGAGCTATAAACAAAATTATAATCTTGTACTTTTCATGCTGAGAAGCCGCTTTTGAACATTAAGAATACAAGTAGGCTACATCATCAATGGAGTCCTTAATAATAGTGGTGGGGATGTAGGGTGGAGACTTTTTCAAAATGCTTCAGTAAAATGCAGCTGTAACAACATGATAATACTCAAAACAGTAACAAAAGAGTTACCCTATCACTTTGATAACATAAATAAACAAACCTCTATGGGTGTTTTCACATTGCGTGCTCCCAGCAGTGCTTTCAGTTGGCTGATTAGGCCTCTGGTCAGGTTGAAGTTGGGTGGAGCACCGTAGGTTATTGGGTCACCAAAGTCCATGTTCAGCAATATGAATGGCAAAGGTGGAAGTTTTCCCACCCTCACAGGTGCTTCATAACTAAGGAGAGTGAGGAAAACCTTTTTTAATAGGAAAATCACAGATGTAAATAATAAAAAATAATGATGGCTGAATTCTATTTAGCTGCTTCAGTCTTAAGGTCGTGGTATTGTAGATTCTGGATTATGGTCATACTGTCGTGACTTACTGCAATACTTGAATGGAACAGAGCCATTGTTAATGTAATAAGTAACACCTGTGCTTGTACTGCTATGAAGTTGGCAACAGAAGTGAAAACACTTAAAGCAATGGATCCATGTGGACTTTAATACAAAATTAAAACAAAGTGCAAAAAAAAAGTGGTTTAAAAGCAAAATGACTGGATAAAACATTTTCTTTTGAAGAGAAGGCAAGGAAACAAAAAAGAAGAGAAGAATAAATTCTCTAAGAGCTGTACTGCCACTTGCAGTGAACGTAAATCAGAACGTTAACTGGACAGAAAGGGTCTAATTGAAGAGCCACAGAGAACAACGCTAACTTTATACTCTGCAGGGGGTTCAGAAATGGAGACAACGTCACATTTAGTTAGAACTTAACCTCTAACTGGGCTGAAGGAAAGCTCTTCCTTCCCGGCTGCACAACTTCAAATTACAATGTTTAGAAGAGTGGTGTACACATATTATCAACACATATATTACTGTCTATACATTTACTAGAAGTTTTAATGGTTCTGTTTTGTTTAGTATCTCAGTAAGACCTTCAAGTAGTCGTTATTTATGTTATTAATTTCATCTGTGCTATGTTAAAATGTCTGTCAAAAGGCTTTATTATCATTGGAAGTAAGTATTCTCTGGGCACTGCTAATTCATTTTATTTGTATCAGACTGCAAAGCAATAAAGAAAATCCCACTTTGTTCCAACATCTGCTTTGTAACAAGAGAAGATATCACTTTCCAATAAGCAACACTTTATTTATATAAATAGTGCAGATGCTCTGCTGCTCTTTTCTGTAATGGTTAATCTCTCCATTGGATTGCAAGCAAAAAAACACACAAAGAAAGTAATGCTAGAGGAGGATAAATGGACATTTCACATGAATGTTGTTCGTATTACTCATCTACTAAGCACTGGAAAAAATATATTTAAGAAAGAACATTAAAAATACTTTTTTCTAGTTGCTTTTTATTTATATTTCAAGCTCCTACAAGGGACTTTTATGTTGTGTTGATTCTGGCGGCCTCTGTGGACAAAAACAGTAGTGTTTCTACTGCCTTGTTTTATCGAGTTCAAGGGGAACTCGACCGAATCCGACCGAATCCGACCGGTGGCACGCACAATAACTGTATATAAATAGAAACAGAAAAATAAATATTTTCTCTGATGGTCTTATTTGTTTATGTAGGTCATGTAGAGTTAACAGTATTACACTGTTAACCAGTTAAAAACTTGTTTTTCAGGCAAACTGGTTAAAGCAGGCTATTGTTTCATTCATAATTCATTGTAAAATATATTTTAGTAAAATACAAACTTGAATCTGTTCTCTTGGAGTAGAGAAGGACATGCAACTGCCCAAGAGCAGCAACAGATTTAAAAAATAAAAAATAAATATTTCCACATGCCATCTGTTTGACATTTTGGAGTCACACAAACTCGCACATGCAACATATTTTTAGTATTAACAGCAAATAATTTGTATGAATGACCAATAAGCTCTTACTTTATTGATGTAAATTATACAGTGAAGCCTTATTTTGATACTAGTCCAAATGTTGACCATGAAACTTGACTATACTGCAAGCATATTGAAATTAAATAAGGATTATGTGGAAAGATGTTAATTCCTGAATTTATTAGGACACTGGAAGAGAAAGATATTGTGATGGCTTTAAATAAAAAAAATCATTAATAAAATTGTTCATTTCAGAAGAGAGTCCTCTCTTAGCTTTGAGATCAAATCAGCATTGTGAGTTTAAAATGCTCTAAAATGCTGTTTGAATGGTCTAAAGAGGCTCAAACAACCAAGTAAACTTTAGCCCAAGCCATATGATGAAAACCATCTGGGTTGTAATAAAATAATAACATTTTGATAAATGTATGATATTATTGGTGTTTAAACACATGGTAACATTAATGATGTTTAAATGTTAAAAACAATATAGTTACATTTTCTATTTTTGACATTCACTCACTTTACATTCCAGTCGGTGTTCAAAACAGCAGGACAAAGGTAGGTCGATAGGTAGTCGCCCAAGTCCCCTCTGGATCTCTGTGTCAAAAAGGTGCTATATAAATAAAGCTTTACTTACTTACTTACTTACTCTTGGAATTTTTTAAAAGACTATTTTAAATGCATTTGTGAAGTTATATAGTGAAAAAAAGACCTCCAATGAAAATGTTCTATTTAATTTTTTAAATATTCAGTAGTTCAATAGTCAGTGTAGGATATTAGTCCACTGTTGGTAATATAGAAATGCATTTTGTATGTGTGTGTGTGTGTATGTGTGTTTAGCTCTGTGCTGCTGGTTGGATAGCAATGCTAGCTCAGGGATTCCTGTGCACATTAGTAGTTGTATGAGTTGTGGTCAGGTTGTGCTGTGTGTATATGTGTGTGTATGTGTGCGTGCTGCTCGCCCTCCCCCTATCTCCGTAACCCCTATCCTATTCTCTCCCTGTCTCTCTCTCTCCTGTTGTCCCAGCATGGCTGCAGGATGGCTGCTCTGCGGACTCTCTCTCTGCTGCTCTCTGCCTGCCTGTTGTGGCCTGTATGTTTGGCCCTGACCCCCCCTGCCCAGCTCCCTCAGTCCCGCAACCTGCCCCCCATGCTGGGCTTCAACAGTAGTGATGGCAGCCTGTCTGTGGATCTGCCCATGGCGCTGAGGGTTTTCAGCGTGGACTATCACCATGTGCAGGCTCCCTTTGAGATTGTGCTGTGGATCATGCTGGCCTCACTGGCCAAGCTGGGTAAGCTTTAACTGGTTTTCTGCTCAAATGTGAAAGGCCAACATTACATAAGATGCTATTGGAGGTGGTTAGATGTTGTAGTGGGTTCAAAAAAAGTTTTCTGAAAATGCTTCAGGGTTTGTTATGTTAGTTACAAGTAACTTCATCAACTGAGTGAGTAACGTAATCCAAGTTGTTTACCAAAACCATGATCATCTTTATTTTCAGATTTCTTATTTGCATATTAACATTATAAAGACACACAGGAAAGAAACATATCTGACACAAATGCTTTATGAACTTTATGAACTGACTTTTTTAAAGCAGTCCCATTCAAAAATGTGTAATTTTTCCAAAGATGTAATAAGGGAATGTATTGAAATTTAGAATATAAAAAGCCAATAGAAGCACCCAGTTGTGTGTGCATATTACAGTATATGAAGTGTATGAGCTGTTGGTGTAGTTCTGCTTTTGTGTTTTCAGCCAGTGACAGAGTAAAAATTCTTGCAGCTCAAAAAGTCACCACATTGTTGAATCCAATTAGCATGACGTCCTTTCATCTTCTCTGTCTCCCACCTCCAGGTTTCCACTGGTCAGGTCGAGTCCCAGCGGTCGTCCCAGAGAGCTGTCTCCTCATTATGGTGGGCCTCCTGGTTGGAGGGGTGATCTACGGTGTACGCCACTCTGCTCCCCCGACTCTCAGCGCTGATGCTTTCTTCCTCTTCCTGCTCCCGCCCATCGTCTTGGACGCAGGATACTTCCTGCCAGGGAGGCTGTTCTTTGAAAACCTCGGCACCATCCTCTGGTTAGTACACAATCAGTATTTTAATTCTTATTTGTGTGTGTGTTGAATACACTTTTTCTTAAACATTTAAAGCCATTATTAGATAGAGTTTTGTTTTCAGAAGTCACCATATCAACTAAGGCAATTACATATCAGAGTTGTGTGCTGTGTTTCTTGTGTTTAAGTGACCATAAAAATCAATTAACATAGGTTTGAGGGAAAGGTTATACTGGGGACACCTGGCTTCAAGTATTCTTTTTTATCTTGACCACCTTGCCAAGCAGTATCATTCCTGTTTTCTGTAAATTTAGATTTTGTATCTATCTCCAGGTATGCGTTGCTGGGAACCTTATGGAACGTGCTGGGCATTGGCTTGTCTCTGTACGGTGTGTGTCTGCTGGCTCAGAGCTCTCTGGGCGACGTCTCTCTGCTCCACTGCCTGCTGTTTGGCTCCCTGATCGCTGCTGTCGACCCCGTAGCCGTGCTCTCCGTCTTCCAGGAAATGCATGTTAACGAACAGCTTCATATCCTGGTGTTTGGAGAGTCACTGCTCAACGACGCCGTTACTGTGGTGAGGAGAGAGGTGGACACCGGGTGGTCTTAAAATAAAATAAAATAAAGCTATTCTGTGCATAAAAAATACATCTCTCTTCCTTCCAGGTGCTCTACAAGCTGTTTGAGTCCTTCCTGCGTTTGCCATCAGTGTCGGGAGTTGATGTGCTGCTGGGGGGATGTAGGGTGGTAGTGGTGGGCCTCGGCGGCCTGTTTGTTGGCCTCTTCTTTGGCCTGTTGGCAGCCCTCACCTCACGATTTACCTCTAGAGCCCAGGTCATTGCCCCGCTCTTTGTCTTCCTCTACTCCTACTTGTCGTACCTGACCTCAGAGATGCTTCACCTCTCTGGTATCATGGCGTGAGTGCTGCTGAGTATCAACTTCAACGGAAAGTCTAAATGTGTAGCTTGCTAAAATTGAATAATGTTTTATATATACTTTGTTTTTTACCCACATTTGCAGCATTGTGACCTGTGCTGTGACCATGAAGCAGTATGTGGAGGCTAATGTGTCCGAGCGCAGCAAAACTAGCATCCAGTACTTCCTGAAGATGTGGAGCAGCGTCAGTGAAACCCTGATTTTCATTTTCCTGGGTGTGTCCACAATACAGGATGTCCATATGTGGAGCTGGCCCTTTGTCTGCTCCACGCTGCTGCTCTGCCTCGTCTGGAGGGCCACAGGTAGCTTTAAAAACCTTTCCTGAACAAAAAACAGATGACTTAACAATGATGCTCTGACCAGATACATTTGATTAACAGTTGTTAAATTAGAGGTATCAACACATTTCCCGTCCTTTGAAGGTGTTCTACTGCTGACTGCTGTGGTGAACAAGCTCCGGAGAAACGCTGTGACCTTTCGAGATCAGTTCATCATCGCCTATGGAGGCCTGAGAGGGGCAATCTGTTTTTCCCTCGTCTTCCTGATTGATGACTTCCCAAAGAAAAGACTCTTTATCACAACTACCATTGTGGTCATCCTCTTCACTGTCTTTGTACAGGTGAAAGATTTTAATAATAGGATCAGTGTCTGTATTTCAGATAGTAGTTGTTCTTCTTTGTATTGCATTTGTTTGGCTTCATGGATTGTTTGGAATGTTTGGTTGTATTTGTTGAGTTTGGTTTTGTCTGGTTTCCAGGGGATGACCATTAAGCCTCTAGTGGAGCTGCTGGATGTGAAGAGGAAGAAGAGAGCTCTGCCTACTGTCAGTGAGGAGATACACAGCAGGGTGAGAAAAGACAGCATAGCCTGCAATATGGTCTTTAAGGAATAACAAATATACTGTTTAAGTGTTACTAGTATTATGTATTTCAGGTGTAATTAGAGGTTAAAGTCTTTTCATTCAGGTGCAACATACACCTCAGTTATTTTTGTAGTAATAAAGATTACATAGTGAGATTACATTAAAGGTCAAGTGTGTAACATAATAACAATAATAATAATATGCACAACTATGTTTTCCTTAGTGTATAATAATATGAATTATATGCTTCCATCATGTCTCCTTTAAGCTCATTGACCACCTGCTGGCAGGAATCGAGGATGTGGTTGGATACTGGGGGCAACACTACTGGAAAGACAAGTTAGTGCTTTTTTTTACTTTGAGTTCACCTTCTGCTTTTGTTTCCCATAAAAAATAGACCTAAAACTACCAGTAGATGGCAGCAGATACCACATGCAAAAGTTTCTGATCATTTTCCACAGTCAGGACTCAGAAATAATGCCAAACTGTAACTGTTATGTATATATTGTTTGTGCGTGTGTGTAAGGTTTGAACAGTTCAACAGGAAGTACCTTCGTCGTTTCCTGATCCGCGAGGATCACCAGGCTCGCTCCAGTATCCTCAGAGTTTACCAGGAGCTGGAGAGAAGGGAGCAGAGGGGAGACGAGGAGGCGCCACGAGTGTGAGAAAACACTTTTTTGATTTATGTCACCGTCTCTCGTAGTAGGATTCACTGATCTCTGGGACTTCACTGAATGAGTCCCACGAGGGCCCTAAAAAACCTAAGCAAAGTTTTATGACCATCAATGTTATAAGTGCTAATTCGAATCTGTCCCCCAGTGGTGGACCTTGGTTCAACACAAAATGTTTGTGGGAATCCCTTGTCACTGAAAACTGATTAAATATGTCGGTCTTCATGACATAGTTTTTTGACTAAATGGCTGTGGAAATGTACACCTCACTTTTAGAGTGGACCCTCGCTCCCACAGCCGTCCCCTCTTACCAGAGGAGATGGACAGCATCAGGCGAATTCTCTCCAGAAACCTTCAAAACTTTAACAACAAGGTAAATTCACAGGTTTGGTTTGTGTTCCTATGTTTTGACCAAGAGATTACTGAACATGCACTGTAGGTATGTACAATAACTATCCCTCTATTATTTGGGTTTGTGCATGTGTTGTCACTCCAGCAAACACCAGCCTACAGCAGACATACTTTGCACCAGGACGCTACCACAGAAAGAACGAGAAAGCCTCTTTACAGACACCAGAGTCTGGGAGAGAGATACACGTATAATACAATCACACACTGGCAACAGGTACTGTATCCATATAAAGTAACGCCAAAATTATTTTATCCTTGAAAATGTGTTTAAATGTGTTTGTATGTATAAGTATGCACTTATTTTTCATGAAAGCACTTAATGAAAATAAAAAGGTGTCATTTATTTGTGACAAAATCTCTTTTTTTAAGTATTAATAGTATAAATCACAAATGTTATGTCCTGTCAGGAAAATGCCACTTTACTCAAAGAATGAGTGTCAATGAGCTTAATTGATTGAGTTTCATTTATTCAATTCAATTCAA